AATTAAAATTTATATCTTTATGTAAATTTATTCAAAATATCTCATATTGTCCGCGCACGCACACATCCATTCTTTCATTATCATATATATATATATATATATATATGCTGTAACAAATGTTCACACAGAAATGTACAGCAAGAGGTAAGAGGACAACATAATAAGTTATAGAGGGAGTCAATGACGGTGGACTAGGCGATGAAACACACCTTAATCTTTATTCTAATAAGTTATGGATTATTAACTTCCGAATGCTGTGGTAGATCGATTTTCCTAACCCTTCGACTACAACCCTCACTATGCACAAAATAGAGTTGCCAGTGGACAGCGAAATGGGAGTTGTACAGAATCAGACATGGATTTGAGTCAAATTTTGGCATTTAAAGTAATATTTAAATAAGTTTTGTCGAAAACTTTCTTAAAGGCATCTTTAAAGGCTAATTTTTTATATTCTACTGCAACATTTTAAATTTGTAAAAAAAAATTATTTTTTAAGTTTTACCAAATACCCTCAATGTTATAATTCCCAATGTTCTTATGAATAAATAAATTCATTACTTGCTTATTATTGTCATAGTCCTTCATATATCGATGGTAATTTCTTTAGTTCCTTAATGATAGTGTGTTATTTAAATTTTTTTTTTTTCCAATTGACAATTTTCCATGTAGGAGAAAAGCAAAATTATATGTAGTATGACAAGATCATCACTAGCACTTGCAATTGTACTTAATGATACCAACAAAATTAAAGTTGGTTAAGGGAGTACTTGTTTTTTGAGAGTTTTGGAGGAATGCAAACTTACCATGCATTAACATTTCTCCTAAAAAATCATGTAGATACCAATAAGAGTTTGGTTGAATTCCATGTGGATGTGATTATGTTATTGCCTACAACACAATGAACTAGGACTTGGAAGATAAAGAACAAGTACGATGTATACATACAAAAAGCAAGGTACAGAAAGTGGAAATGGAGCAGAAGATCTAGATATACGTATTTGAACTAATGAGTTTGTACTAACGTTAACATGTTTATAAAGTAGGGATGGAGAAGAGATTGGGGAAGATATGCGCCACCAAGACAAAGCATGGAACTCATGAGTTTGTCCTTTCATCAATGGATTTTATTTTATCTAGATTTTTCTCATTCATAATGACAAACTCTCTGCCTCTATGTTTTTTTTTTTACTCAAAAATAATATAATTACAATTGCACATAGTATTATTAGTTTTATAATATGATCCCTAGTCTTCTCATCTTTCCTTTTTACTAGCAGATCTTCCAGTGGCGGGGTGACTTTCTACCTCTGGATTTCCTTCCTAGGGCTTTAGGGTAGACTCTCCAATTCCTAAATAAGCAATAATCAAGTTTAATATTAAAATTAATATTAATTTTTATATTAATATATATATATTTAACATAAAAAGATACTCTTGTGTACAAATTAAAAAAATCCTTTAGAAAATGATGTAAATAATTATAATTAATGTTACATTTTCAATAATAATAATGTAATATTAAATATATATATATGTGATATTATAAAAAAATACAATATTACTCCAAATAATTGACGCATTGAAGACTAAAATGCAGATATTTAGGAGTATATATATTTTATCATTAAATTCAATTAATCCAACTTTCATAATTGATAATTGTGAATTTTCAATTAAAAATATGTAGTTTCTAATAATTGATGCAGAGTATATCTTAAGAATAGAACTCCAAACTTCAAATTTAAATTTTTAAGTTTCTTTTAGTTCAGTATAGTTTTGGTTTT